CCAAACCTTTTTTTGGCCATGAAAAGAATGCAGGTTTGAGACAGTTTTACATCAGCACACCAGGAAACTATCTCTGTTTTACATATAGTCTATGCAAGAACACTGGACATAGCAATAATAACACATCACAAACACAAAGACCATGATTTATTAGTAGTGACATGGTAATTATTTGGTAAGTATTTTATGAAATCTGTGTGCATGGATGTGTCCATGCTATTTTTAGTTTTATGGACATAAACCTGTTTACACAGTCACCCAGTGTGGACTTTCCACCGTTATAGAGAAAAAATTCAAGTACACAGGATGTTGATGAGTAGTTTATAGTAATTACACTGTGGTGTGGCTTTCTTATGTTTTTATATTTTTGTATACATTGTCCATTCATCCATTCGCTTCCGCTTATCCTTTTTGAGGGTCGCGGTGGAGGCTGTCAGCTGTGGTACGGCGGAAGGCAGGGTACTTTGACCTGTTTAAAAACATTCAAATAAACTTTTTGTCTTTTTCACAGTGAATCTTTCGTTTTAGTTAAACTATTCTCTCATATTAACAGGTAACGGGTGAGCAGAGCCATCATTGATGGTTCTACAGAAGCCTGTAGCAGGAGTACTGACGGGGGCTCCTGAATACCCATCTTATCTTAAAAACCTCATAGTACTGTATCATCCCATTAGAGCACTTCACCCTCACTATGGGCTTACGTGTGTGTAACTCATGACTCTAATAAGACAACCTAAAAGTATCGACTAGTTGCCAGGTTTGAGATGATTACAATAGGAACTGAGGTGAATGTGAAATTAAATGTCTGGAGGCAGGAAATGAGCGACAATGGTTATTATTTTGACAAGTGAAAATAAAACAAGATTTCAACAATAACAATAATAATAAGCTAGCATCACGAAAAGAAAAAAAAAACAGTCCTGCTGAGCTCAATATTTCAGGTTCTCCTTCTTTGGTCATTCCTTTTAATTTAATTCCCTTTTTGTTTCGGTTTGGTGGTTTAAGTAGTTAGTAGTTGAGACACAAAGACTAACACAAAACACGACAGCAGAAGAAGCAGAAAGACAACAAACACATTTAATAGGACGTATAACAGAGAGGCAGTTTTAGTGCTGCTAAACTGGCTGGCCCGCCCACCCCTCCACCCCGTGTGTCACTGTCGGCAGGTCTACCTCCTGTTACACCGTCAACTGACCGCAGAGGAAGACGCCATGGTTCTCAGCCTCAGACAGGTGTGCAGTCCGCCTTGTACCACAAGAGGCCGCCATGCTCTAACACAGCATGACCAAACATATTCAGTGCTGTAC